GATATCTTCAGCTGTTTTGCGACCACTGTATTCCCTGACTGTCTGGATTTCCATAACGACAAGAACAAGCACCTACTTAATCGAACATTCCGAGGCCTCAATCCACGTATTGAGCAATTCCAACTCTCTCATGTTACCATCACTTGTCTATAACTCAACTTGCACATGCCACCATGTAACAACAAAGACCTCCGGTGCCTGGACGATCCCGCACAGTTTGTTAATGTGATGAACAAGACTCATCCTTGTCTCCGAGGATGAAACACTTTTTTACTTCAGTCACGACGTGTCACAAACACAACAACTAAAATTTAGTAGATTAAAAAATTAATCTAAAAAACCACGTTTTCAAAAAGCAAAAAATAACCTTAAACGTGGTGCGCATCTATTTCATTTGTATTTCACTTCTTCCCAACAATCTCCATGCGCACCACGTTTAAGGTTATTTTTTGCTTTTTGAAAACGTGGTTTTTTAGATTAATTTTTTAATCTACTATAATTATTTTATTCTTTTTAAAAAATATTCTTAAAATTAATTTTTTCACAAAAGATTGCATTGTCATCAGTTTCTAGGCTATCCTGAAAGTTTCAGCTTGATAGCTAGTCGGGAAGTGAGTGAAATTTGAGTTTCAAAATTTGATCCGGACAAACAAACAGACAAGAAAGTGAGTTAATAATTAATCAGAAAAAAAATGTTCCAGGGGGTGGGATTGAACTCGGACCTCTGCGACCAATTCAGTTCACCATGGGTTTTTTTCTTGGGGCCAAGGAAAACCTGCTCAAAGTTTTATTATAGAAATCTACTATAATTATTTTATTCTTTTTAAAAAATATTCTTAAAATTAATTTTTTCACAAAAGATTGCATTGTCATCAGTTTCTAAGCTATCCTGAAAGTTTCAGCTTGATAGCTAGTTGGGAAGTGAGTGAAATTTGAGTTTCAAAATTTGATCCAGACAAACAGACAGACAGACAGACAAGAAAGTGAGTTCATAAAAACATGGTAATAAAAAAAAAGGTATCAGACCTGATACTCAGCAGGGATATTGAAGGTGGCGGGGGGAGTCGGACCAAGAAAAACCCGACCAAGAGTCTCATAGTCATTTCCAAATAGTAAAAGCCGTCTGAGTTTTATCAGGGAAGAATAACTGTATTTGCAATAGTTGATGCGGGCAATTCTCCCGTGGATCACGTCCTCTTGAACAATTTAAAATGTCGCCACGGCGCCATTTCCATGGGCACTGCTGGCTTGACAGTAGTGTAGGTGTGTATAAGAATTCGCGGGAGCAGAACTATTTGCCAGGGAAACTCTAAGCCAACAATTTACGCTCGTTCACAGGTTCTCGAAGTTTTAGTTATCCAATATTGAATGCTGATCTAAAAATTGTTATCGTATCGCGAAAAAATCTAAAAATGAAGCCAAACATCGAATATCATTTTCATCTTGCGGTTTGGCACAGGTCCGACACTGATGGAGACCGAATGAGCTCAGTGATGATTGAATGAGTGGAAAAATGGTGCGCTTTTGGAGAACTGCTGGCTTATGAAAGAAATACTGTAAATAAGGTATTTTTCTTTGATTGATTGATGAATAAGCTTTATTCGCTACTTGTCAGCGTTCACAAGGTTCAAAAGACCGTCATACTGTAAGTTTTTTTTTCTTTGTCGATCTTGAAAACTCCGTCAATCACCTTCTAAATTGGTTGCACACTTGACTTGTGAAGATCAATCTTAATAATACCTGATTGGCAAAACATTTACTGCTCCATTCGAAAGTTCAGGTTCTTCTGCCATCTGTAGTTTCCTTGTGGATTATTTGGAAACCTACTCACTTTGTTGTGCAGAAAAAAACGGGCTACAGTATATGATTCAAAGTTTTGTCGAGATAAGTGGAAACATTATACAGAACCAAATTGCCTTTTAATTAGGAATGTCGGATTCCGAATTCCAGTCTTCAAGACGGTCTTTATATTTAAAGCAGACGTTTGTTATCCTGAATATATGACATGAATGAATCAAACTCGGATGTAAACGGCTGATTTATCCTTTCTGCAACTTTTTGCGCATACGGAATGAATCGGTATTTCCGAAAATATTTGCTCACGAAAACAAAATATCCACACGCAGACTTAGACTTCTGTCTCGGTGTTCTCTAATTTTCTTCACTAAATCTTCGAATGGTTATTCTCAGTCGTCGCATTATTATTGGAATGCTGAAAAAGGAAGCCATATCTTTTCATGAAGAAAATTGCCTGCATGGGTATAAATGAATCTTTTTCGAAATCAATCGCAAATTTGTAGTGCTTCAGCAATACCACAACGCCGTTCCAACTCTTGGAAATGATAACCTCATGACTCCCCAAGCTGCTCTTCCCACGAATCGAAGAATGCCGTTGAGACCTCGAAGTCCGTTGCAAAGGCCTTTGACCATTTGTGCCAAACGAGCGTCAAGTTCTTGAATAGGTTCTGCATCAACTTGTCTTTTGAAAATTTGATGATAGGTTGAAGTCAAGTCATCAGCAGTAAGCAACTGCCCGTCTGCTACGTAAATCGATGCAACAACCAATAAAAATATTTTCACAATGATCATCTTTGTCCCTGGAATTTCGCCTGGAATAAAAAAAAAAGAGTTAGTTCCCCTGTCATAGTTTGCATTGACTACAAAAGTAAACGAAATCAATGGAACACGCGTTTTATGATTTCCAGTTACAGTTGCATTTTCTTCACAGGTTTTAAAAACAGCGAGGGGCTTTTCTGCAACAATTTTCGGAGAAGTTTTATTTCTCATCACTTGTAGCACTGGCTGACTTTGATGAAATGATTTTCATTTTTTTAATTGAGGGTTTCTCCTTTATATGATCTGTCGAATGGCAGGTTATTCTGATTTATTGCATTGATGAGCTCATGCCAAAGCTAATATTATATTTTCGGGATTTTTTGTGCTGGATTTCATGTAAAATACTGTACAAATATTGGAGCTCTTTGAAAATGTTTGGATTGAATTGGAAATATGGAGAACGTCTTCAAGAAAAATTGGGGAATTATATTTCAGGACATTTCTACATTTCTAATAACTGAAAGGTTTTTTTTTTCGAAAACCAAAGCTTTTGAAGAAATTGATTTTGAAATCAGAATTTATGCGATAGTTTTTTTAACGTTGTTCTGGCTGTTTTTCCTTCGTCTGTTATTGAAAATAGCTATTTCAATGCACCCAGAAGGTTGAACTGATTTTCTGCATCACGGGTTGAAGCAGCTGCGGAAAAGTTAGTGATACATTCCGAGAACCTCCGGGTACACTGGAATAGGCGAACGTCGTCGTCGTTGAGGGGCATCGCTTGCACAATTTTGCAGAGTGTAAATCGTTCCAGGTAGAATTCCCTTCAGAAGTAACATTTCCATGACTGAGGCTATCATCGGAGCCAATCCTGCGAGTAGGGATTTGCAGAGCGTGTCTGCCAATCCTTGAAAGGCTTTGTCAAGTACATTCATTTTTGACATATCTGTTCCTCCATTGGTATCAAATCCATTTGCAAATGTCAAACAACTGAAAAGCACTGGAACAAGACAAAGCATTGCCAAGGGTGCCAAAAATCTCTGGAACTTCATGATTTCGCGGTGCTGGGTTTTTGCTTGACTTTTTTTTTTGAAGTTCAGAACGGCAATCGTGCACTAATCAGCAAGTTTTCTACAACAAAAAAAAATGCATATATTAAACGGTCAACCTGCGCTTAGAGGAATAATCAAATATAATCACAAATGTAACCCTGAACGTATCAAGGTTTTTTCAACAGTTCAGAAAATATTCATAGATATATAGGCAGACACTCAATTATCTTTCAACTGAGAAAAAATCGCAGGGTTACTTTGTACGCTGATTTCATGAGAGTGACTTGCATACTAACAAGAAAATATTTCCCGCTTCCCTAAACCTGCTTACTAGATAAAGGTTTCCAGCTACAAAAGAGTTTTGTTTTTTTTTCTCTCCAGTCATGGCGTGAAAAATGCAGCTTTCCATTGAGTTTTCGGAATTTTGACACTTTGTTGAATGGGCAAATGCTGAGTTTGCACTTGATTGTTCAAATGTGGAATTGTGAAGCATACTTTTATTCCGTACAGTACAAGTGAAAAGCTTTTTTGCTGAGTTCAGGAGGAAAGTCACAGCTTGCAATTTTCGCATAGGGGCTCTGATTTTATTGTGTTTCAAGGCAATTGTTGAACAAGCACCCTATACGACATCATGAAAGTTTTGTTTTTCATTCTCGTCATTCCTTGACTATTGTCAAAACTATCGAACTTGGTTGGTGAACAAAGGCATTCAACTGGACGATTTCACGACCAAGTGCTCCTACTTAACAAAGGAGATCTACATTCTCATTAGTCGAAGTTCATTTTCCATTGGAAATTAATGTATGATAGCTTATTGGAAAAAACTTAGTAATTCTTAATTGTCCACCAATTCAAGTACTGGACCTGAAAAGGGCAGGAGAGGAATGGAAAGCGTTTTTTTTTGCTGAAAAAAATATACAGGAACACACATAGAGTTGAAAAAAGATCTAAGGAACTCACAGAGGATTGCGGTTGGTACTAGAAATGTGCCTGTCTGCATAAATAAATGTTCCAAAAATATACGCATTTCTGCATAAAGAATCGTTCATGTCGGGTGAGAATGACAAAGACCTTATGTAAAATAAGTGTAAACCATTTGCAGCCTTTAGGAGGCCGGATCCTCCTGAAGGGAGTCCCTTAAGCACTCGTTTATTACAGTGCACACACAAACGCTCAGAAACAGAACCAAGATCAGAATCCTCAAGATATTGCAATCATCCACACAAGTCACACACAAAGACAAGTCCTCAGGGAGGAAATCAATAAATCACTAGCAACCGTACGTAGGCAAGGCTACTTGCAGAGTGACGGCTTCGGAGCCTCACGGAATTCAATGTAGATAATTATGATCATTATCTATTCTCACCCGGTTCTGCCAGGCGGTAACCGGGTGCCATGCAGGACCTTGGTTCCGGGCGCGTTGTAACTTTGCATATGTGGAGCCCGAGCGAGGATGCTACGCTCGGGCCTCCCCACGCACTCTCTCGACCCCACAGTTCAAAGAGAGATGAACCTTTCAGCAAAAGTTTTTGTTTGAAGCTTTTTATTTCTGCAAAAATGCTATCGGGGGCGGCCATTGGATGCATACATTATTGTCTATCATTGTCTTCCTGGGCAATGAGATGCTTTGTTCCTGGACAAACAGAGATTTCTGCCTGCAGAACTTGGAATTGCAGTACAGAGTAAAATAAGCAAAGAATGCCAACTGTTCATGTTTTTTTTTCTCACAGGAATACATATTATCAAGGACTCATCCCTTCTTATTAGAAACGTTTGAATCTTCAAGGCATGAACTGGAAAACTGAAGTACAGTACATGCATTCAAAAACCAATCATCCATCGAGCAGAAGCACATGGAAACATATTCTTGTGACTGCTGACAGTGCTGAGGTTCTTCAAATGGTCATCTTATCCATAATAATGTAAATATATCATTCAAATTGTATCTATTTGAGAAGGATTATATCGAAGTCCGTTTTCCAATGTTACCTCGTCTCTTGATTGAGATAGTATGTGGCTTCAAACAATCTGCAGTATTCACATTTCTTGGTTTACCCATTTATCGCGAAGTCTTACGATTGCGCCAAAGTTTATATCATATATTTCCTTCTTAATTTAAACTCGGGCTACATTATTCTGGCTTATTATTGACTACCAAAATTTTCATACTTAATATGCTTCAAAAATCCATGTCTAAATTTATTTCAGGATATTCTGGGAAATTTTTCAATGCACTGACCAGCAACACGGGTATCAACTCAGGTAAGTATGCCGATCAACACGTTTGAATAATATTTTGACTTTCAATGAATGATTTGCAGCTGTTCAAAAACGTATATCAAATATTTCTCCAAAGAAATATGCCTTCAAAAATTGTGCTCATGCTAATTCTGGTTCCACATCTACTTGGTCGCCAATTCCGGTGACTGATTCTCTACTCGTTCATTTTATTTCTTCGCGTCATACTGTATAATCCGATTTTGAATTTAAATAGTCATTAGCGGATTGAAATGTCCTCCTCCTCAAGGAACCGGCCATTAAATTGTGAGAAAATGGGTTCCACAAACACTGATTTTGTCCGGGGAACAATCAACGGTTATGGCCACTTTTGTGCGGAAGGAGTTTCAGTACTTTCAGGCAATCAATGATCATTGAATCGCAAGAAAGGATTCAAATGTGTCACGTATTTTCCGTTTTTCCAAGGAAGACGCTGTCCTAGAACGCCAAAAGCCATGACATGTTTTCCAAAGAGTATAAGACGAATAAAAATTTTTTTTAAACTTCGAATCCATCACATTGATGGATCTTTTCAAGAAATACCTCATGACATTTATGGGTTTTTATTTACAGATTGTGCGGATTGTTCAGACCTGGATTGTGAAAATTGCCGTGTTCAGAAAAACACTGATGACAGCGAGAAAAACACCCAGGAACGTGACTCTGATTTTGTTTCCATTATCAAGTGTTTCGATTAACCTGGAATTCAATGGAAAAGACAATTTCAAAGTTTTGTCCACGCCAAAACATCCAATTCAACTCCATTCCAGGAAACCGAAATAATGTAGACTGATCAATTACGGCGCTGAGAGTTATTTCGAAACTTTATGTAAGTCACAAACAGTTTTCCTGATAGTGTTCCATTGCTGTCTAATACGAAGTTGTCATTTTGTTGAAAAAAGAAGGATATTATTAATTGTCCCTGTTCTCTTCGAACAAAGGAAGGAACATTCGAGTATCTTCATAGGTATATATGTATTCTTTGTGAAAAATGCAAACTCGTACATAATACGAGCAGCGAGATTTTCCTGAATATTAATGACAGCATCAAGTTTTTCCTGATCAAAATCAGTATAAGTTCAGTTCATGTGTCGAATCTTTATGCAAATATTCAAGTACTTTTTTTATCCAACTGAGAATTGTAAAAAGAGATTCTGCTGCCCGAAAGTTGGTGGTTTTCTTCATTATTCGGCCCGAGCTGTCATGCATGGTCTGCATTTCAGCAATGCTTCCAGAAAAATACTTAAGCCATTAAAAGCAATAAAAGTTATAGCAAGATGATAAATGTGTTCCAAACTTCTTCAGAAATTTCGAGGCATAGTTCGAAAGTTTGCCGATTTGCTGCAGTCTTCCCGAAGGCAGATGGTTGTGAGAACTTTTGCATACCGGAGGCGCTGGTATATGAACATAAATTTTTATTAAGGTACTGTATGATCAATGCGCGAGTGTGACACGACAAGACACGAAGTCAATATAATTTAAAATAAGAATGGGCCAAGTTTGGATCAAGGCTTTTTTTAAACAGTATAATAGAGACTGCATACATTTTTCAGTTGCAGGCTTTTTTTTATCAAACAACAACAGTGTATTCCCTTTTCAGTGAGCTGAAGAAAAACCGAAGGTTAATTTTTCCGGGAACCTTAATCAGGATTATTTTGTGACTATCCAAGAAAAAGTGTGGTTTCAGTTATGATTTTGTCAAAACTGCCAAATCTTATGTACTCGTATATCCTCATTCTTCACTGAATCTTTGTTGCATGCAAACTTGCGAAGCGCATGGACGCCCTGTAAATTTTTAATTGCTTCCAAGTTCCAACTAAGATTCTTTGATTTCAAAAAACTTAGATTTCACTAAAAAAAAATACATATTCGGTCGTTATGATCGTAATTCTTCGAATTTTCAGAAATTATCCGTGTTCTATACGTATTTCGACTAACCGAATTTTATTTTTCTTTGTCCAGTTTTGTCTCTCATCGTATGGTATCCCCGTATCAAGTGACAACACTTCTGCCAAGCCATTTTCAATACGAAAGTTCACGCTGTCTTTTCAAATGCTGTATTTTTACTCATCGATATATAATTTTCAGCGGGATAATTGTTGTTCAATTGCTTCGCCTTAATACATTTGAACTTTATTTTCCTTGTTTTCAAGTACATAGATTATAAAAAACGTGAAATATATGTTTACATGTGAAATATATGCTCTGGAACGTATCCAGATGTTATCAACAGATTTGTGGTACTGCACTAGCTAAATCGTTTCTGCACTGAAAATATTCGCGGAAACTGATCAACTTTTTGATAAGCATTTGCTTTTATTTTCGTCAAAAAGGAGATTCGAATATTAAGTCGTCTATTCGGTGATGAAACTCATGCAAACCCATTGATAAAATCTCAAATTTCAAGGAACGATGTCCTGTACAGTGTATACAGTACTGTATATACAGTACAATATATAGGTTGAGTTGAACACGTGAAATTCCGACGTGCTATTGCTCCATTGAGTGATTGAGGTGGCATCTAGGCACACTGTACAGAACTTGGTACGCATCCGAACTACTGTACAGGAATTCCGCCGTTCCACGGGCTGATGTTTCATTATTTTGACCATAGGAGTCACTCCCCGCGATTTTGTGCTCTCGAAGTCTGGATAAATGTCGCACCTCTCAGGTAAACAGGTGCAGTGCTGTACTGAGATTATCTCCGAATTAGGAATTCAGCTGATACCACTTGAAAGTTTCAGTTCAAGTCCTTTTCCCATTCGCAATTCACTGCGAACGCGGTGAATTCAGCTATAAATCCGTCTCTAAAATGTCGTTTCGCAAAAAATGCGGCAAGGAACTGCTGAGAGGATTCATGGAAACTTGAAGACCATGTGAAGATTTCGGCATAGTGACTTTTTTGGAATTCTTGTACAATATTCTTAGCAGGAAGAATCGAATCTGGCCGAAAACGAAGCAATAATTACAAAGAATATTCTTTACTGTCCACTTGTGTGCAGTACAATACTCTGCCGCGAACGACGAGCACGTACAATATAAAAAAAAATTATATTGTTCGTGTGCGTTGTAGCATGACAAATCTGATATTTATTCATATAAAAGTATATCAGATAGTCATGTTACAAGCATTATTGTACCTAATCTCGCATTTTTGAAATTCAATCATTTGTCCAAGTATCGATTACCGTTTTAGAGGATGGAATTCCCGTTTTGGAACCGATCTGAAACTGCAATGAAAAGTGCGCAGAGGGACTGATTTTGCGATTAATATTTTTATCATTGTAATTTGACTCTGTTTCAGCGCAGCATTCATACTAAAAAAGAAAAGATTCTCACCAACACCTCAAATAGCGATAAAATATTGTCTAAATTGCTATTATCTAAATGATCCAACGCACGAAATGAATTGTCAAAAAGAATTGATTCACGAATCCCGAATAAAATTGACTTGCTATCATGCAGCAGTCCGTGAACTGAAGAGATGTATCTTCCGCGAGAAGGCGATGAATAAGTCCATCACAGGAAATGGCTTTTTTAATTGAATATTCTTGCAGAAATTAGAATTGTAATTTACAATTCTTCATTGCCGTTTTTCACAGCATTCGGCAACCTGTGCAACCCAACTCCAAAAAAAATATCAATCTTCCCGGGGGTCACGGTCCAGCTGACCACGGAGTGCATGGTGACATTATCAGCAACATTTTCTGGATGACGCTACATTGTCGATAAGAATTCCGACTTCAGGGGAGAGCCACTCTTCGTGAGATGAAGTTACTTCTTTGAAAAAAGTATGAATTCAGTGGAGCCAGCAGTGGTTTAACTTCATAGTGAGAGTTTGTCACGAACGAACAGGAATCCGCCGGAACGAGGTGGGAAAATAAACACGTGTCGCGACTTCGTACGTGAGATACACACGTGTTCAAAGCCAGGTAGAAACAAGTGTGCTGCGAGAGTTTTAAATTTAGTTTGTATAAAAGTGACAGTTCCACGTGCAAAATAAATTTAGTTGATGTTGTCTCGACAAAATGTTTCGTTTGCGAAGCCACGATTTTCTCATTTATTTTTAAGAAAACGATTTCGTTTACTGTAGTGTATAAGCTTCGACCCAGAAGTTGGAAAACTGAAACGATCAACGATTTTTTTTAGTTCGTTCGTAATTTTTAGTCGAGTTCTTTCATGTTCACTTGTGTTGCATTCCATACGCTTTTACCATGCTTGAAATTTTGAAATATTGTGTCGATTTGACTTCCTTATTTATTTCCGAAGCAGAGATTTTTTTCCGTTCGCGAATACGATGGGTTCCAAATTCGCAATTATGTTCATGTTGGTTCCTGGCCTTCTCCTCGCTGATTCCGGTAAGAAATCCCTTTCATTTAATAATTTATCAAACTTGTACTTTTTATAGAGATTTTTATTATAAATAGTTTTAACCGAAACCAGACATCGTCGGCCTCGTAATAACGCACTGTGATGCTGGTTTAAAATTAAAGCGAGCGTTTTGTCATTTCAATTAAATACAGGCACATATCTGAGCCTTTTTTCAACTGGAATTATTCATCAACCGTTCAAAAACAAAACTGGACATAATTCGATGGTCGTATTTTTACAGCGAACGCTGGATTGCAATGTCCTCCGCCTACGGAAGAACGATTTGGAATTTGCGTGGAAAGCTGCTCCAGTGACAAGGATTGTTCAAAAAGGAACCAACTGTGCTGTTCCAATGGTTGTGGGCATTCTTGTGTTGAAGGAATTTCGAGCAATTATTGCTCATTAAATTGTAACGACGGTTTCAAATGCATCAAGTACTTCCCGATTTGCTACGGAAGCGCCTGCCCGGAAACACCAACGGCGGAGATCTGCGTTCCTTCTAGTGAGTGTGGCATAAAGTATTTATATACACTCATTCACTAAATTTATTATTCATCCAACACTTTCTCATAAATTTTTTTATTTTATTTTACAGAATATATGACATGTGCGGAAATGGATTGCGCTCATCATTGTCGTAATCAGGAAGTCACTTGTTTCACTGCGCCTTGCTATCCTGTTCCCCAATGCTCGGCTCCATCACGTCCATGAAAATATATTGAGAATAACCAACCGTTTGACAAAATGAATCGCCGAAAGCCTCGACATTTATTCTTTCGTTCATCGTGAGGTTTATGAAATAAAAACATGCTCTTCCGACTTCAGCTGCATGCAAGAGCGGAATAATTTATTTTCCAATTTCGCGTGAGTCACGCAGAATGCGGAAATTTTATCCATTTCTTATGTTGATGTCGTAGAGCTAGAGCCTTCTTCGTCACTATTGTATCTTTCATTATCTCACCATCAAATCCATGAAGAACATTTCATTTTATTTCTTTTTCTTTGCGTTATTGATTGGGCAGTTATTATCGATTCAATGCTTCTCGATTCGAATGATCTCATTGATAGCACAATGGAGGTCACTTTCAAAATTTCATGCAAAAGAGAAGTTAAATTTTAAACAGAAATTTAAAAGGCTATACCTCACGAAATATCAAGTTCCAGCGAACAATTTTAAGAGGTTTCAAAAAGTAATTTATCGGCTTTCTTCGCCTTTCTCGTCCAACTTAGTTTATCGTCAATTTCAGTTATGGGATATTTAAAAAAAATCGAGGGAGAAAATGCAAGTCTTCAAAAGTGATTGGACAGGTTTCAAGAATAAAAAATTAGCGAGTCCCGGTTTAGACATTTTCTACTTTTCAGCAGTCGATCGGAAATAGACAGCAGTGAATACCGCGAGACATCAACAAACGGGCACCCCCAGAAGTATACCGACGATTCGACAGTTGTGGGACACTTGAAAAATATCTGCCCAGACATCGGGACAATGTTTCGAGATGCGGACATTTTCCCGACATTTCTATAAAAATTGAAAAAATACTTTTTACATTTTTTTTAGCTCTCGAAAAAATGTTGCTATTCATATTATCACGGAAATTTAAAAAGTGTTTTTCATTATAAAATTACTCAAATTCAAAATACAAAAATGAACTGATGCTGTGCTTCCTTTCCAAAGTATTTTTTCCATTCAGTGCACAGCTATGCTTTTTTTTTGTTCTAAGCTTCGTCTTGAACTCATTCTGATGCAATAAGCTCAGATTCTGTGTGGCCTTATTCTGAGCAGTTATTTTCTACATATGTTGAAGTTGAGAAAAAAGTTATTTGTGGAATTTATTATTGATTTTTGATGAACA